CCATCTTGAATCTGGTGTTATTCTCTTTAGCAAATTTTTCATTGTATTTACTGAACTTTTCACCTTAAATGTTTCTTTTTGGTTCTTTTGATAACTTTCATTTTCTTTAGAATCTCTATTTGCCAACACTTATTGTCATATGTCCTTTAATTCTTTAAATAGCATTTCCTTTAGTTCTTYGAACATATATATTTCCTCTGCATTGGATAATTTTCCTCCTAACTCTAACATTGAGGAAGAGTTCAAGAAATTTATATTGACTGCTTTTTTTTTTTACACCCCTTAATATGGATCACTTCCTGTTCCTTTGCGTATCTACATTTTTATTGAAAACTAGACATTTTAGATAATGTAGCTGCTCTGACTTGTTAACTACTCCCAAAGTTGCTCTATTGTCAGCTTTCATTTTTTAAATACTTATTTGTTAGATTTCTTTGCCTGGGATAAGTCTATGAAAAAAATCTTACTCCTGCAGTGAGTAGCAGCTGATTTCTCTGCTCAGATTTCGTGTTTAAAACTACTTTTACTTTTTCAAGACTGGCTGTATAACAGTAACCTCTGTTTTTGCCTAGGTTCCTTGATAAACCTGTGAGTGAGCAAAGGTAGTTCACACCTCAGGTTGACACAACACAGACGTTCTATCCTCTGCCAAATGTTCTCTGTGTTGATAGCCAGGAAAATTATAAGTTTGTGCCAACTTGAACATGTCAGTTTCCTTGGGTCCTTCTGTGCCTCTCCTATATGTATGCAATAGCCTCTGGGTTGAGAGGCAGTATGTGGAAAGCCAGGGCTATCTCCAGTGTCTACTGCACACACTAGGGTCTCAATTGGTTGTAAGCATGTCACAGACACACAAATTCTAGTACCTGGGAGGCCATYTCCCAGGTACTAGAGGTGCTGACCATTCCTGTTTGCTTGGATCCAATATAGTCATGTAAACCAGCTATGTTACTGGGCATGGGCGTTGCACTCAATACTCCAAACTGAGTCCCTGCCCTTCAGCCATGGCAGAAGCTGCTGATACTCATGGCCCACCCTTTCCTGATTCATGTTTTTTTAAGCTGGGGAGGGAACTCAGTAGCCCATGGTTTGCCTCCCACAAATTCTTCTTATTCTGAGTTTAGCAATTTGTTAGACATAACTGCTTCTCATATTACTGCATGCCTTCGGTCAATTCCCAGTRTTCTGAAAGGGTTGTTTTGAAATTTTGTCTAGTATTATAGTTGCTTTTCATGGAATGGATTTGACAGTTTCTTCACTTGTGCACAGTCAGAATTACTAMTTCTTTTTTTGTTTTGTTTTTGTTCTATTCAGGAAAAAAATTTATATTAAAATGAATTAAACTTGATAAATCTACTTTTTTTWAAAAAATGTATGTATTCTTGCTTAAAATGACCATTTGCTCTGCTAATTCTGAGCTGCACTTTGCTATATTAGTTTGCTGGCATGAGGCTGAGTCTTGATGTTCAAGCACAGGTTCTAAGAATTTTATCTTTCTAATAAAAAGATAAAATTATTTTTATTTCTCATATAACACATAATTATTGTACACTGTTCTCAAAACAGATATGCATTACTGTAGTTTCCCTCCTATTCACTTGGTTTCACATTAATGACATACATATGCATATACACAAATTTATTTCTATAMATTTGTTGCTATTCATACAATACAAAGATCTAAATTACTCACTGAAAGTGAAGAACAGAAAAGCCTATGATTGATTCTGTGATTCTAAAATGACAGCTTTAGTTGAAAAGAAGTATCTCAGTGGGAAAGCTTTCCTCTTAACTCTGAGTTTACCTCTTATTGCCTCTTGTTCCTTACTCCTGAGCCYCTTGGGAAGCATGGGATAAGAAACTGCGGGAAAGAAACTGGGAGCCATGTCACTTACTAAAAGGAATGGAAATCAGTCCAGCCAGGAACAACCACTTTGGTTTTTCCTCACATGTCAAACAAACACTGATAAATGAAGGAACACAAGTCTCTGCATCACCTAGACATATTTCAGTACTAATCAACCAAACCATTCATTAAGGAAAACAATTTGATGGGTTATTTTTGTTTGTTTGTTTGTTTGTTTTTTGAGTAAATGACCAGTAATTGCTTTCATTGTTGAACAGTTTTGTGTATTCTTCTTACTGTAGAAGATCATCAAAATCTCTTTGTCCTCTATGCTTAGATGTTATGATATCTAACATGTTTAGAAGATATTTGTTAGTTAGTCAATAATAATTCAGTTGAAACTGTTAGTCATTTAATATCATGAGGATTTACTTTTAAAATATTTTTAGTTGTAGATGGACACAATACCTTTATTTATTTATTTTTATATGGCGCTGAGGATGGAGCCTGGTTCCTCACACATGCCAGGCAAGCTCTGTACCACTAAGCTATGACCCAAGTCCTATTACGAGAATTTAATTCATGTTTGGTATTATTTGGACTCCCACATGTCCAAATTATGTTTAAGGAAGTAATACAAAAGTGACTTCATAGTCAACCTGCAACATAGTCATAAAAATGATAAAATGTTTTAAATTAAAATTCATTAAGGAAACAGAGAAAGCTATAATTGACCAGAAAAAAAATTGTAAAGCATATTTGGAATGTTTATTGTACATATTCTTTAGATTTTATGTCAAGGTATTATAACAAAGAAACTTCGAATTATAGTGGACCAGGCAAGACACATTTCCCCCTCACCTTGTAAGTTGCTGGTGAGCTGTGCTTTATAAGGCCAACCACGAAATCATGACCTTTCTGCCATGCCATTTAGCCATCTTCCAGTTGTCCTCATCCTCATGGTTGACAYTGACTTACAGCACTGTCTACATCCCAACTTAAGGGATGTGGAAAAAGACAATACCCAGGTCAAGTGGCTTGTGTTATTTCAAGATGACCCAGAAATACACATTCCATTGACCTGAATTTTCTGTGTGCCCACATGGAACTAAGAGAACTATGAAATAGTCTTGATCTGAACATCCACGGACCCTATCAGAGATTCCTTTATAGTTGCTGCCTAACAATGGAAATAACACATGCTTCCTATAGAGAATTTGGATAACACCAAATTGGAAAGAAAGAAGAAATAAAGACGATCTGCCATTAACTTTTCACTTCTCAGATAGTAATATCCGTACATTTTTGTATGAATATTACAATTTTTTTTCTTTCTAGAAAGAAAAACTCTTYTATATACATGTGCAATTCTCCTCATATGCATTGTAATTTTGCCATTAAAGTATCAATATCTTTACTCATGAAATTCATTGACTTTAGTGAACTTCATTTTAATGTCTAACACACGGAATGATCTTTCATTAACATGAAATAAATAACAAATCTCACTATAGAGCATGTATTTTTTTTTCTAGATTTTTACTACTATAAATAAATTGTCATATGTTCATATTTTGTTTCCTGGGGCAAGTTCATAGAAAAGGACTTATTTCCATATGGATTTTCAAAAAGTTATGCCTATTTTTACTTCCAACCTCAGCATATGAGGTGACCTATTTAGAATTACTGAGAATATCTTTAACTAGGATTCTGCTAATCCGAGAAGTCATTGTTTTTATTTGAAATGCAATGGAGAACAAAAGCACTTTCATCCTTAAACATAGAAAAGCATGCATGATGAATGCCTTTCGAGCTAGAAAGCAGTTTTAAGAACGTTTGATTTAATGGTTAAGTTTATGAGTTGTTGCTACATTATTGGCCATGAATAGTTTTGAAAATCATTTCCACATGATATTTTTCTTTTTATACATTGGATTTTTTTAACTAACATATATGACTTTTTATTTTAAGTTTATCAACCCTTTCCTGTTATGTTTGTGGCAGTTTTTCTTTTAATTTTTTTTTTTTTTTTKGTAGTGCTTGAAACCTGGACTTCATGCATGCTAGGCAAATCTTCTACCACTAAGCTGCACCCCAGCTCCTGTTTGTTTCTRTTCTTAAAACAGTATGCTGTCTTCTGACATCTTAGTAAAAAAGATTGGGATTTTGCATTGCCACATCTATAAAAGGCCCCCTCAGTTTCCACCATTGCTGTAATGCTCACACAGTTGTTTCCATCCTCAAATYGTGTGCATTTCATGCTTTAGTGGCTCATTTTGGCTCTCTTTTGTTTTAATGCCATTGGCCTTATAATTTTTGAGTGTATTACCTTATTTAATTTATTTTGGCAGTGTAACAAATATTAATGCTTTCTGGAACACTTTTTCTCATAATTCTTTCAATATTTTTATTTTGGAGAAACACTTTATAATTTCAGTTTTTCTAAGGAGAGTGATAAAATTTTGATTGACATTATAATGCATCCATATCACAGCTTGTAACTTAYGTAATTATAAAAATATAATTTTAAATCTTCATAACTTATTCAYGATAAAATAATATTCAATTTTACTRTAACCTAATTGTATATTAAATATTATTACAGCATTATATTTTATGTTATACACTTATATTTATATTTAAATATAATGAGCTTACTTTCATACTATATTAGTATTATATTTTATATTTACACTAATATTATGCTAGTATTGTTTTACATTTTACTGATTTTTATATTGTAAGGTTCCTTCATTTTTAAAATAGCCAATCTTTTTCATTGAGTTAAGGTTTTATTTATGTCTGTTAGTAAAGCTTTATTTTTTCTCTTCATAAAACATATTTTTTATTAAGATTGTTTTTATTTTGTAATTTTGTACTACTGGTAAATGGTTCTTTCCTATTTTATTACTATTTTTCCTGGTACGTGAAAATGCTAGTAATTTTTTAAAATTATATTATTGGCTACCTAAATAAATCTTATGATACTTAAAAGTATTTTGTTTGGTTTTCATGAGGTGTCTATATTTTAAGAATTACATAATTTGCAGTAATAGTGTTTTTGTCCACTTTTTACTTTTAAAGTTTGAATCAAGCCTTTTTCCTTTCGAGTATGGCTCACCTTTACTTTTCTTTTCCTTTTTTTTTTTCCCAGCATGGAAGAGTGTGAAGCTCTTTGCACCAGACTGGCCATCATGGTTAACGGTAGCTTCCAGTGTCTCGGCTCCCCTCAGCACATTAGGAATAGGTATGTGGAGCTTCTCTATTGTTTGATTCCTATCTATCAACAGCATGATGCAGTGTTATAACTGGAGATGCTTTAGAGATAGCTTGATCAATTAATTACATCATGACATACAGGAAGAGGTGAAGGCATTGAGACATTTAAGGGTATGTTTAAAAAACACGATTAGTAAGTCAAAGGGATGTCAATTCCCARATTCTTTCCCTAAGATAGTTTGCTTCCTTCTTGAGAAGGACTGTACCCTGATTGTGGTGGCATTGGTAGGGAAAGAGTATGGCTGGCAGGCCCAGATCAAGACAGGACAAGAAATAGCCTCCTGGTGTATGAAGTGCCTTATCCAGARGTTGTGCTAATAATATAATTTTTCCAGCAGCAGTAAATCAGAGTTCTGATTTACCAAACACTATACTTTAAGAAAGAGTTCTGTCAGTGTGAGAGGGTAAAAGACAGTTGCTGTGTTTTACTTTCATTTCGGATAATAAAAGACTAAAGATTTTTTTTTCCTATGCTCATGAATCCCTTAGATTTATTCCTGGTTAATTATCTCTTCATGTCTTTTTTTTTTCCATTTACTTTTTGGGAGTTTAATGATTTTGTTATAAATTTCTATGACCATTTTTATGTCCTTGTATCTTTCTTTTTTTTTTTCCCCCAGAGTTTTCTGAACGATTTTCTGATTTCCTTCAGTTTGTTGTTTAACCTTAATTTTTCATACAGAGTAATTTGGTCATTTATGTTGATAAATCTCTTTTTTCATGTTCATTTAGTCAATGTTTTTAATGTTAGAACTCTTAAGCAGAGATCTGGTAAATAGCTGAAACTTAAATATTTTTATTTTATGGAGAAAATAGCAAGTGCTTGGATAGAGGTGATGTATTAGGAGGTAAACAGCACGTTTCTAGTGGCTTGGTGTTGGTCACTACTGGGACAGTAAACCTCACTGATGCTTAGTGCTGTTTAGTGTTAAATGCTTGCCAGATGAATCTGCTAGAAACTATTCTCCGCTCACTTTAATAAGTAGTATCAAAAGAAAAATAATACTTCACACTGTCTAACCTTTATGAATGTCTACATAAAGTTTTATAGTCCATTCCTGATTGTTGGGTGATTTATATTTGACTCTAGCTTCTTGCTTTCCATTAGGCATGGTAAAGTTGGCTAMAGAAGCCTGCAGGATTAGATCATGGGAAGAGGATAATTCCCAGTGCTGATCTACAGGCTGGACAGTCTCTGTCCACTTCTGAGTTTTGATTCTGATAATGTGATCTGTAGGTTGAGGATGAATTATTAGTGGGTATGAACTATATCTATATAAAGCAAGAACTCACATGGTGTTATTCACCAAAATACCAAACAAGATAGCTTTTAAAATGTCTTCTATTTTTTTTTAATTTTCCTACAACAAATAAGCCTATCATAAATAAATATATGACTACATATGTTTCCATAATATTGAAATAAAAAGTAAGGGATGATTCCAGGGCATCTATATTTGGAATCATCCATGTTGTCCCCATTTCTCCTCTTCTAACATGAGGCATTCACATAGGTAAGAGGAATCCCTCCCAACTCCCCTGCATTCCTTACTTCCATGAAAATTCACTGGGCTCCCATAGACCTGGAGGACCCTGTGTGAGAGCTACTGCAGCTGTCAAGAGATAGACACTTCCCTCCAATGTTGTCCCCAACTCTGCAAGGAGAAAACAGTCACCTTGGTGGTCTTGTACAAGTGGAGAAAGTTGATTACTTCCAGAATGTCCTGATGATAGCATTATTGAATGTGACCTTGAATAGTGATAATATAAGTTCAGTGTAGATGGATATAGTGGGGATACTGGGTGCTGCGTGCTGAGGTAGCATGGGGATCCTACCCAAGGGACAARGGCCTGAGTGTCCATCATATGACCCCATGGCTCCTTCTCCTCAACTGTCATATGGGTTGCCATGAGGACTAAGTGTGATTGGAAACACWGAGGACAGGGCAGGGGATGATTTAATATTATTGCATGTGATTTGAGTGAAAACAGCTCATCATCCCCATGGCCGTCCCCAGGCACTTTCAGGGGCAGARGAAGTGGGGGGAGAGGCTGCTGATCAGTATGGAGGTTTGGGGAATAGTCCTTGTGAGAGAGAATGAGAGCCAGCATCAAACCTATGGAAATACACGTGAATAAGCAATGAATTTGCCCAGAGGGTCTGTGGAGATAAATCAAAGAAAGCCAGTGTTTGAGCAGGACAGTCCTAAGTTAGGATCGGGACTCAAGTGTTGAGCTTTTCCTCTGGAGAAAGGGGTGGTGGGCAGGGTCCTGGGCTGGACTGGGAGACAGTGCCTAAAGATTAGCTGTGGAAATCCAAGATGCAGAGAGGATAGTACTGGCCCTCAGGGACCACATGCTCCCTATAAAGGGTAGGCGCAAAAAAAAAAAAAAAAAAAATCCCAAATGAGAGTCAAGTGGAATAAAAGCAGGAGAGAATGAGGGTTTAGCTTCCATATACATAGCTTTTCAACCACAAGCTGAGCTAGGCTTCATGGACAATGAGAACATATACTTGTATATGATTCTCAGCAAACCTGAGTGTGGMAACATCCCAGAGCCCTAGTAGCATCATGAGGCTCAACCTGATGCTGTAGTTTACCTGTCCATAGGTTAAGAGAGGGAATGGGAAAGACTCTGTGGGGATGAGAAAACTGCAGTCTCTTAGAAATATAAAGTAAAGGAAAGAACATGGGTAGTTTTTAGGAACAGATACATAAAGAARAAAAGAAAGGGGAATAGAGGTCAGTGAAACTGCTCAAAGCAAAGAACTCGCCCTCCTCCTCTGGAACCTGAGTCTGTCCCTCCTCCCTGAATCTKGGGGCATAGGCAAGACCCAAGTACCGCAGCATCCCTCTCCCTCAGTCTGAGGGGTGGCACTGCCTTTCTTTCCCATGCTCAGTTGATGGTTTTGGTTGACCTCCTACACACAGTGCCCCCAAATTGTCCTAATTACTTCTCCTACTATGCTCATGTGATCTGTCAACCTGGGCCCTAACCACAACTSGACATGTACCACCATCAGAGGCATGGATGTTGTGGGGATACTGGGTTCCATGAAGGACAGACACAAGCCCCAATCTCCTGCTCCTATCTGAACATCAAAACTCAGCCTGCTTGATGTCTGYATCTGCCTCCTCCCTACCCCTTCTGTTTCAAAATACAGTGTATTGATGGAAAATAAAATATAGAATAAAGGCCCACAGACCAGGAGACACCACCATTACGAAGACAGTTTGTTACTCACAGTTGTCAACACAAGGGATGTGCTACACAGGGCCACACGGGGGAGCATAGGAGTTAGTCCATGGGCAGAGGGAGTAGGAAGAAAACACGGACCAGAGTTTTCATTGTGTTTCTACAGCAAACAGATGAGGCAACACCACCAGGCCTAGGTTTGCCTAGTTTGACTAACATTGGCAGGACCTGAGGCATAGGGGCTATATGTAGTTGTGTGGCAGCTGGCCCTAAAGTGAATAAGATACAGGTGGATAATGGCCCAGAGTGTGAGCCACCAGGAGAGAAGGTGGTGGTATGGTGTGGGTTCTAAATCTGCTGATCTATATTTGAAAAATGTGGTTTTGGTGGACTTTTATTCCAACTCTAGAAATTGGTTCTTCCACCAATCCCTTCCCTGGAAGGGAAGTCGCTCCAGAATCAGTAAAGCCCTGCAGATCAGAGCATCAGAAAATATGGCTAACATGTCCACTGAGCAGACTCAGCCAGGCTGAACTGAGGTGTGGATGTGGGACCATCACATTCTCCTGGCCAATTTTACAGAGGAAAGTGGGGAGTTCAGACTTTACTACAGGTCCTAGAGCCTCCCTTCTTCTTCTTTGGTATAGTTTTTTGTTCTTTTTGATAACATTTTCAATAGCTTACTTTAGTTCTATTATCCATACCGTAAGATTTTAAGCATTTTTGAGATTGTGGAGTCATATTTAAAAAGTCTCTGGACTCCAATCTATACACCTAAGGTTCCATGTGACCAGTTTTAACTCAATGATTCATGGCGAAGGGTCTCAGAGAAATGATTGCAGTAGAGAACTACCTCGGTTGAGCATCTCTGTTAAGGTCGAGTTGTTACTTTCACTCTGAAGTTTCTTGACCAAATTGTAACTTAGAAAAAGTGATGAACGTGAGGTGTTAAGTGGAATTGAGGCTGTTTGCTTCTGATATCTAATCATTTTTTTTTTTTTGAGAGAGAGAGAGAATTTTTTAAATATTTATTTTGTAGTTTTTAGCAGACACAACATCTTTGTATGTGGTGCTGAGGATCGAACCCAGGCCACACACATGCCAGGCCAGCGCGCTACCGCTTGAGCCACATCCCCAGCCCATCGTTTCTTTAACAAACATTTATTGAGGGCCAAAAAAGGGGTCTAGAGATAGGCCTGCTATATATAACCTGTATCCACTCGGTTCTCACACTTCATGGAGTGAGACCTGCACATACTGGTGACATCACAAGAGTGAATAGGGTAGGCATCATAAAAAAAGGATTTCTGAAGAGGAGACCACATTTTTCTAACTTTGAGGAAATAGGGATGTCTGGTAGACCTTGAAGTACAGGTAAAATTTGTTTAAAAGGAGATTAAATCCTAGGTGAGTACCAAATCATAATGAGATCAAGCAAGGACAAACATATGAGTCAAAGCAGAATTTAGATATCAACATTGAAATTGAAGGAAATCTTCAGGCCACGTAAAATAAGGATGGCTATATTAAATATTTCTTGAGCTGCACTAGGCTTTGTGGTCTTAACATGGGTTTCTCAAACTTGGCATTATTTTTACTGTGAGTCAGATAATTCTTGGTTGTGGGAAGCTGCTCTGTGCATGTAGGATGTATATAGCAGCATCCCTGGCCTGTGTAGTAGTACCCACCTCCCCAGTTGTGACAAGTAAAAATGTCTCCAGACATTGGCAAGTGTCTTTTGGAGAGCAGATTGTCCAGGTACTTTTTTCC